CAGCACCCGGGGCAAGGCAAGTAATTTGCGCCCCCCCCCTCCACAGTGGGCGGCGACCCGGCGGCTCGGATCGGATTCGCACAGCCAGCACTGCAGAGAGAGTGAGTGAGCCAGGCAGGGGCAGAGAGCTGCGAGTGCGAGCGCGCCCCCCCAGATGTTGCGCCCGGTGCGGCCGGCCCCCCCTGCACCCCCCACGCTATGCCACTGCTCCTGTCTAGCACTTTGTGTAAAATTGCACTTTTCCTAATATTCCAAAAGGGAATAATGTGATAAATATCTATATACGTATGACAAGTTATTCTTTTCTTTTTTGTGCCTGTAGGTATCCTGCCGCCTTTTAAATTAGTATGAGTCTACTACATAGTAACACAAGTTTTGAAATCAATGATCAAGAGACTGACTGCTGTGCAGCCATGGCCAGTGCTTGCAGCGCTGGGACCAAGGAGGAAAGCTTCACTGCCCCCATCAGCAATGGTACTGGTGGGGCACTTTCAAACTCTTTCATGGAGGAAGCCCAAGGCTATGATGTGGAGTTTGACCCACCACTGGAAAGTAAATATGAGTGCCCTATCTGTTTAATGGCTCTACGGGAAGCAGTACAGACGCCGTGTGGACATCGTTTTTGCAAAGCTTGCATTGTCAAATCCATAAGGTAACACAGTGAGTTTGTTGAAATTTAGTTGTGCCCCAGGTTCAGTCTCCTAGCAGTGTCCATTAATTGCTACATCAGGTTTCTTGTGCAGCCTTCAAAAATTTAAAGCTAGGATTTCTTGTGAATGAAATGAATGATACTAAGGAGAAAAAATCATCTGAGAGAAATCCATACAATCTACTTTTAAGACTTTTTTCTCTTATCCATTTCCAAAATTATTTATAATTTAACAAATCGTTGCAAGGTCAGAATTGTCTTTACCAGTTAATTGTGGTCTTTCATGACATAGTTTGTGTTTTCTATGTATGATTGACTTGTTGGTTGATTTATTTTAAACTGTGGTATGTTGACATAAAGTAATCCTTTGTTATTGTTAGAGAGCTGTGATAAATATCAATAAGTAAAATACAGTATTGCGGAATAATTTACTGATGGATTGATTGTAGGAACTCAAGTTCTCAATACTTTTTCCCATTATTTTAGTACTAGAATCATGGGCCTTAGCTTTATTCCACGGAGAAAAATAAAATCATTCTGACAACCTTCTCATGAGGTTCAACATCTATAATGCTGACTAAGTTTTAAATGTAAGCTTCCCTTTTCCCTTCCTCAAATAATCACTTCTTGATTTTCACCATGTCTGAATTTATTAGACAAATGTCTAAAAAATTAAAAGTCTTTTTTGTTGGTTGTTATATTTTAATTGTTTACAATCTATTTAAAATCATAGCATAGCACTGTGAATCTCACATACACATATATCTATCCATTTAGCACTGGAAGGTCAATATGTTAAATTCTGACTTAAATAGTTCAGGCCTTAGACATATGAGCATATCCGGGAACTCTCTGTCAGCATCAAACCACAAGTTCCTGTTTCTCCACTGGATTCTGCTCTTCTTTTATATGTTCTGTTTCAAATATTTTTAAAAATGGGAATGGAACAGGTATATTGTCTAAGAAATAAAAACACCACATTGCATGTAATAAATATATGAAATGATTATGTTTATATCTTGTGTTAGCCATACATATACACTGTCTGTCTGTCTGTCTGTCTGTCTGTCTCTCTCTCTCTCTCTCTCTCTCTCT